AGGACTGAGTAGATTTAAAAAAAATTATTGAGCCAATCGATACAATTCTTTAAAAACTTTCAAAATAGGCTCCTTCTGCGTCGATGCACCGCTGCCAGCACGATTTACAAGCATTGAAGGTGTCACGGAAGGCATTCTCCGGAATAGGCTTGAGAGCCGCGGTGCATGCTGCTTGGATCCCTTCTGTCTTCTCAAAATGCTTGCCTTTCATCGGCCTTTTCAGGCGAGGAAACAAAAGAAAAGTCCAGAGGGCCACATCTGGGCTGTAGGGCGGCTGCGGAAGCGTTGGGATGCCGGCCTTGGACAGGTAGCTGTTCACAAGAAAGGCGGTGTGAGCCGTGGCGTTGTCGTGGTGCAACTTCCAGTCGGCTGCGATGTCTTGTCGGACCCGACTGACCCTGCGTTTGAGTCTCTTGAGTACTTCCACGTAAAACTTGGCGTTGACGGTTTGTCCAGGAGGAACAAATTAATGGTGGACGATGCCTTTGATGTCAAAAAAGAAAATGAGCATCGTTTTCACTTTGGGGTCACTTTCACACATGTTCAAATTTTCTTGGCACACTTCCACTCGCCGCAATTTCTGGTCGTCAGTGAGCACACCTTGCGCATGTTCAAATGTTGTGTCACAATGAATGAACCACAGATTTTGGTAAATTTAACATCTGGCAATTAAACGAATACTTAGTCGACGGTCTGAGTTCAAAACTTTGCGCACACGAGTCACATTATCGGTGTTTGTCGCAATCGAAAGTCTTCCAGCACGGTCTTCATCAGCGACCTCTTCCCGGCTCTCCAAAAAGGCCTGGTGCCACCGAAACACTCCACTTCTTGCTAAAGCAACACCTGGGTAAGCCTGCTTGATCATATCAAACGTCTCTGTCGCAGATTTACCGAGTTTCACACAGAATTTAATCGCGTACCTCTGCTGTAACAAACGCTGCATTTTCGGCTTGCACCACTCACAGAAACACGTCGCGCAAAAATGCCTGTCCTGACTCTCCAAGTACTCGGAGACAACTGACCAGCCGCTCATTCGTTAGCTAGGAACGCCCTCCAGCGAATCCAGTCGGTGCGCCCACGCTCCGAAGTACAGTCATGGCGGAAGAAAATGAGTCCTATTACTTTCCGGACAAACCCTGTATGTCCTAGCCTAAAAGTGCAAAAATAGCTAGTTTTGGCTATATTTGAGGTTATATGACGATTTATTTTTTTAACCATGGACATCATCTCAAAGTACAAGCATTTCAGGTATCGTTGAGTTTGCTTAAATTTTTTTTCGCGGAGATATGATATAATTTCACTATAATTGATACTTTACACGTTATTGTTAAAAATGCAATAGCAAGTTAATGTATATTTAAGAAATAAGAACTAAAAAAAAAAACAAAATCATAAAGGGAAAGTGTACTCTGGTTTCTAAGTAACAGGGTCGGTTCACTTTTGTCAGCCTGTGAATTGTTTGAAAAGCTCAGATAAAGCCTTACCAAGAATATACTATATAACTCTCAATCCTGGAAAGTTTTTGCCCCAAATATGAGTACACCAACCACACTTTCAGTTATTTGCTTCATGCCTAGGCCTCTAGTATGCTACTCTGGTATCAAATACGTGAAATAACCAACCACGAGGATGTTTTACTAATTCTAACAAGCTTAAGTCTGAAAAATGTTACAAACTGTATCTCCCCACCTCTCTGTCTCCCTCCCCATATACTGACAACTGTTTGGACGAAAGAAAATGTGACGTATTAGTTGCGTATTGTCATGCCAGGCCAGAAACCGAATGGATTGAATTCTTTTTAGCTGATTACGAATCCTAGTCAATTTGGATAATGGCTAGATGTTTGATATACATTCGGGTCCCTCTCCCTCTCTTTTTCAATCTCTGTCTCTTTCTTATTCTTCATCTAAGTGTATTACTGTTAGTAGCAGGATGCACGGTCGTATCTAGAACGTCAAGGAACAGGTAATTCTATAATAAGTTGGTAGATACAAATAAATGAAATAAAGAAATACATTTTTAAAAATAAGCTTTCATTTAGCTGTTAATAAAGTAAACTAAAAATTTAAAAATAATTTATTCTTTTCAATTTTTCAAATAAATGCGTTTTACACCCTTTTTCCATCCTGCTGTCAAAACGTACGACGCTTTTATTTGAAAACTTGAAATGAATTAGCTTCTTTAGATATTTCCAGTCGGAAAAAAATATTTTTAGAATTTTAATTCACTTTAATTCACTTTAAGCTTGTTTTTGAAAATGTATTTTTTGCTTCATTTTCTTTTTCTATTTAGTATTTATGATTTCAGATAACTAGTTTGTTAACTACTACATAATTTTCATATATTTCATTAATAGGACTCCATAAAGCTTTTTACTTTATTTGTATTATAAAATGTTGTTCGATATAAATCATATAACGATGAATCGATATTTTAGTTCACCATACGGAATGACGTTATCTGCTTATTGCGTTTCTCTCTTTAATAACTTTCATTTAATATCCATATCCTAGCGGTGACCATGAAAATTATACAACTCGCCAATTGGATTTAAAATGATGCCATTTTGATTATTATGTTCTCCCCATCAAGGCATTTCATTTGGTACCCATAATATAGGGGTGACTTTGTAAATTATAAACTGTCATTTTGCGGTGGTCGTCATATCGGATTTAGAATGACATCACATTGGTTGTTATGTTTCCCTAATAAAGCATTTTGACTGGATATCTACGTCATAGGTAATTATAAATGCCATCCTGGGAAAGTCGCCACATTGAATTTGGAATAACGACACTTTGCTTATCTTGTTTCTCTCATAAGTCCTTTCATTTGATACTCATATCGTAGGGGTCACTACGAAAAATGTATATCGCCATCATCCGCCGACATCAAGGAGCTTGGACTCAAAGCCATACTCAATTGTGCTAGAAAGGCGAGGCTTGAGGTCTAAGGAATGTAGAGGTGCATAAGTGTCCATATAAGCGGCCTATCGCTGGCTCTTTATGGTGGCCGGAATGCCTTTAATTTCACGATTCATTCGTACTAACAAACAGATAAATTTAAATAAAAGCTAAGAGATAGTCATCATTATCATAATATCCTTCGTTTCAAGTTGACTTTTAACACAGTATGCATACCTACGGGGCAGTAAAATCACTACCGCTAATATTTGCCGAGTGGATTCGACGTACATTGACTGCCAGCATATTTTCAGACACCTAGTACTAGTATAACGAGAGCTGTCGACGTGCACGCTTCAGCCAAAGCCAGTGCTAGAGGCAGTGCCATAGGGCCGAACCCTGTTTTTTTTAAGCGTTGACTTGGGCATTGTGCAGCGTTCGACTTAAAAAATATACTATCATATCATATCATTCTATTCGGTTGAGAAGCTCTGAGATACTACAGACTCTCTCTCTCTCTCGCACATATTGGCTATCTCATAAAATCAACACCCAATCTGTTTCCATGTGAAATCTTGCACGCCACTGCAGTGTCCGGTTTCTATACCCATTCCACATACGCACACAATAATATCATCAACGTATTAGTTAAATTGCTTCTGAAATCCGCAGACCTCCGATTCACGTTTAGAATCTTAATCTAAATATTTCTACATGTATTTACGATCAATCAGAGAAATCTCGTAGACAAGCAGACTAAAGGAGACTCGAATAATAGCCTTTTACTGCTGACATTTCAAGACGGAACGGTTTTGACTGAGATGAGTATTAAGGCAAAAATGTTCTCAGAGATTCGTTGTGATTAACCCGACGGACGATCCGCCATGCTTGTTGAACTTCCTGCGTCCAGAACTGGTCAGGACGACTTCCCCTCTGCTCCTAAAATGTCAAGGTTGTGGAATAATCTGCCTGTATGGGATTTTTCCAGCAGGGCTAATCTTAGGCAGTTCAAAAATCGGATTAACACGCCTGTCTTTAAACTCCTAGCCGCAGCGGTGCCCTGGTATTTTGGCTTTTGTCTACGCAGCTGCTTCAACATAAATATAAAAGAACAATAATAATAATGACTCTATTCAGAAAACAAGCTATCGTTCGTCGAAATGAATTTATCACTCAATGTGCTGAGCCCAGAAAGTGGAATTCGACTGTCTTCTTGAAGCTTAGAGTTAGCTGGTGAAGAATTGCATAACTCGACCGCATTATTCATTACGTAAAGGACCGATTTAGAGTAATTTGTTCTCCAGGAGGATTCAACTTGTCGAGTAAAGAGACGGGTTTTCCAGTCTTAAAAATTCTATGCACCAATGAAGCCATGGAATAAATGTATAGATCATCAACTCTGAGCCACTGTAGTTACTCCTTGGTTTTTGAATAAATGCTACTATGCTCCCTAAGACCAAAAATGGATTTGCAACAGTTGTTCTGAAGCTTTTGCAATTTTGGCTTGCAAACCGAGACTATGCATGGGTAGATGAGGACTAGAGAGTTCGAACAACTTTTTACGGCACTTAAAGTTTAGAATATGGCGATCAGAATATAGGCGCTTCATCTTCATATACTATAACTCGACTCCATAATACTATTCACATGTATGTTAAACCTAAGATTTGAATCAAATAATCAAACACCTAGATTCTTAGCATTATCAAAAAATGGAATATTAATGTCACTGGTAAATAAGGAGACGTGATTTGTGATATTGTAATTTGAACGTTAATGGTATCGCGGTGCATTTTTATTGATTGATGCGGAAACAGTACCTATTACAATAAGTTAGTATGTTACGGGAGCAAGATCTAGATTGATTTCAAACGATGCTTCATGTAAGTTGCATTCATTGAAGCGAAACGTTAGTTGTGTATAGTCAGCATACATTTAAATGTAACAATAGAGAGCTTAACCTGAAACATTGCATACCTAGTATAATAAGAAGCTATCGGTTGTACTTTCCATTCCATTCTCAAAGAAGTATTGCAATAGGAAAAGCTGGAAATAGAATATCACATTGAAAATATTTGAGAACTTTTTTCGTTTCAGATCAAGTCTCGCGTCCCGGTCACCGGTAGTGGCCCCATGATGACGATGGACGTAGCAGGTGGGGGCGGGGGCAAAGCTGGGGACACTGTGACCAAAGGCAGTGGCGCCGGCCAACCTGGGGGACAAACGGGAGCGCAGGAATGTGCCGGGTGCTGTAAACCAATCACGGAGAGGTTTCTGCTCAAAGCGCTGGACATGTTCTGGCATGAGGATTGTCTGAAGTGTGGGTGCTGTGATTGTAGGCTTGGAGAGGTAAGATATAGTTAGAACCAGAAGTTCCAAATCTGGGGAATAATTCTTGAATTGAGGCAGTAGATTAAGTTAGAAAAAGTCAACGTTTTCGGAAAACTGTATTCCTGAAGAGTGATACACTGAAAGAGCGGGAGTCCCGCCATCGTCCATCGGAGAAGTTAACTGCACTCATATGGACAACCCACGAGCATATTAAACTGGTTTGACAAACGTCAACAACTGTCAGAATTTGGTATCATTCTTCAGGGAAGAAATCCACGTCAACTTTCTCTCGGTGATTTGACTCCCTACTTTTCAAGAATAGAGGTGCACGTTCATTGAAGGAAAGGGAAGCATAGAGAAGGGAAGAGAAAATCTCCCGCTGGACTCCGTTAAGCTGCATTTCTAACGTGCACCATGCTGGGGTGGAGCACGGGCAGGAATATGTATTAGTTAAATGTAAAAACTGGATCATCTACTAAGTCCAAATGTCCATAATTCTAACTCGGATAAATAGTATTTGATTGCCTGAAAATCCTTATTTTTATTATATACAATTCTTAAATAAAGCTTCTCCAAGTTCTGCGGTATCATTCTAATGCACTCATTTAAAAGTCCGTTGTATTTATTTTGAGTCACAGAAAGCATACCGACAAAGAATCACAATCTTGCAAACTGCAAAGCTCCGTGTGCCGTGCCAGGACTCTCATTGTCCAAAATTAACAAAAAGCGTATATGTATCTTCTTGTAGCATAAGAGAAATAACGCGTTTATGTTGGATGCTTATACAGGGTGTTCATTTGAAAACCTCCCAGCATTGATTAAGACAAAGAACGCCGAGACACGTCAAAAGATTTGTCAAAAGGGACAAGTTTTTTACCAAAAACTACTCCACACTCTTTCAATCTTGGCCCCCAAGGTCATTCCCTTAAAAATTTCAAATGACAAGGGGTATCGAGTAATAGCTTGTCTGAAAAGTCTTTCAAAGTACTTTATTTTGACTTTTGATTTCCTAAAATCAGTCGATTCGTTTTCGGGAAAATTACAAAAGTCCTTTTGTATCTTTAATTTGTTCAAATAGAAAACAAAAATACCCGAAAATATCACCTTTTATTCCTATAAGTGTTCAAAATGTTGCCCATCAGGGTTCACCAAATCTACAATGCGTTTATAATTTGAAACGGAGACTACCAAAACATAAACAGCAATTCGGAAGATTAGACGTGGCAACAACCAAATAGTAACCCGAATTTTCCGCATTCTTTTCATCAACAGAGGTAACCAGGGCCAGGGCGAACTGTATTTATTGTTATACCTGTTTAGTTATTTGTTTGCTGGGAACGAAACAATTTAATTTGGCGTCAGTTACCTTTGTGACAATCTTGGGATAGTGAAAATTAATTTACTGATTCAGATTTTGCTTCCAAAATGGTTTACACACTAGCCGAAAGAGTGGAAATGATTATAATTCGTGGTACCCAAAAATCAATGTGCTCGGTAAACTGCCGTCACGTTTAACGCCAGACATCCGGGGAAGATAACTTCGCATAGGTATGCTTTGGACCTTGTTACTAAACTTACTCAAACTGGATCTGTTGCAAATAAAAATCGTGATCATCGGAGAGTTTTGGATGAAGCCGCTCAAGTTGAAGTTTTTGGTCATTTTGGGATAAATCCTAATGCTCCATTACGTAAAATTGTTGCTGCGACAGGTTGGTGTTTCATTAGGCTCTGCGCACACAGTTACTCCATAAATTTCATCCATTCAAAAGGAAAATATTTCAAGAGTTAACCGAAGATGTTTTCGATAGATGAGTTGCGGCTTGTGAACAAATGACTGCAGCGATTAATGATAATACCATTCATGTAAAAAACATCTGCTTCAGTGATGAATGCATATTTTATCTAAATGGATTTGTTAATAAACATAACTGCAGGTTATTAATGTATAAGCAGGCATTTTAGGAAACAAAGTGATTGTGTCAGTTTATTAATGGAAATTTGAATGCAGACATCTATTTAGACATGTTGGAAAATACCATCGATCAACTTATGAGTGAAAGAATTGAAAACCAAATCGGTGAGGATGGAAACCCTATACTTAATCAGGCTGAAATATGTTTCCAGCAAGACGGCGCTGCTCCTCACTATGTTCTTCCTGTTCGGCAATGGCAGGACGACGAGTTTCCAGATAAATGTATAGGGTGAAGAGGGCATATAGAATGGCCTGCTAGATATCCTGATTTGACACCATTACACTTTTTTCAATTGGGTCATTTGAAATATATTGTGTTTACACCCGAACCTGACAGTTTGGATGAACTTCGTCAACGCACCATCGAAAGCTGCCATGATATCGTACAACATGTTTTTTAAAATATCCGTTAGGAATTTGAACATCGCCTATATCATTGTTTCGCCAATAACGGGCAACATTTTGAACACTTGAAATAAAAAGTAATATTTTCGTGTGTTTTTGTTTTATATCTAAACAAATTAAGATAAATAAAGATTTTTCTAAGTTTCTTGAAAACGAATCGACCAATTTTAAAAAATCAAACGTCAAAATAAAGAGCTTCGAAAGACCTTGCACACAAGCTATTACTCGATACCTCTTGTCGTTTAAAATTTTGAAGGGGATGGCCCTGGGGACAGAGGAGGAAAGAGGGTGAACTAGTTTTTGGCTAAAACGTTGTCCCCTTTGACAAGTCTTTTAACGTGTCTCGGCGTGTTTTCTTTTAATCAGTGGTTTTCGATAAATCCATAGTGGAAATTTTTCAAATGAACACCCTGTATATTGCAACACAGCAAGATCGGAACAAAGACGTAAGATAAACACTCGGGCCACTACGTACATACTCAATTCACTATATTTACTCCGACCATAATTCGGAAGTTGAACGTCTGTATGCGTCTGCTCTCGCAGGTCTATGTCGCAGATCGACTGCAGCTTGGCCAAAGACGACCAAGGCTAGAAAATAATCTTTTATATTGAAATATCTTGCTCATGTTTGACTCCTTTTAAACCTGTTCCTGTCCGTTAAAGTTTGTAAACAAAGAAAACGGGTATTTGAGCTACACCTAAACATTTGTGTCCATGCGGCACTTCAGCACAGTACACGTTATAAGTGCATCTTAATGTGCACCGTTGGCACATGACACAAATACTACGATAAAGCTCAAAGACTGATTTTCTCGCCTATAAGCTTTCATTACAGTATCATTTTTAGCTGAAATCAAACATGATCGAGAGATTTCACAACAAGAAGATCATTTTCTATCCTTGGTAGCGCTTGCAAGAAGTGCGACACACACACGAGAGCAGGTTCATACAGATGTTCAAGACAAGCATCTCTATGAACTCCAAGCTATGGACAGAATGATTTGAGTGTGTACTCAATGGCCTAAGTGCTTATCTTACACCTTTGTTTCGATTTTGTTGTGTTCCCTTCCATTCTCAACATTAATGTGTTGTGCATTCATGCAGCAAACAAATGCGTATAATTTCTTGATGACTTCAAATTAGAAACTCGGTTTAATAAATTATTTTTTTCCAGTGACATTTCAACAATGTCAGTGAATTGGCATGGCGCCGGCGCACGATATTTTGCTGCTTGCAATCCTTTAAGCCTGCGTCTTCAAGCTTCTTTTGACTCAAAACTAATACGGCGGACTTTAGGTTTATATCACAGAACTTATAGAAGCTGTATTTGGCAATTGTATTCAATAAAGAAAACTGGGGTCAAATAATACATATTAAAAAGGCTATGCATCATTTTTGTCTGAGTATGACCTTGGACTACTGGACTTTAAAAAGGTTTCCTGGGTGATCCGGTTTTTAGATCCATATGTTTTGTGCCTGTTTTCCATTCCAGCACGGTTCGTTATAGAAATCCAGCTTTATATATAAACAAATGTCAGCTCACACACACTAGAGCGAAGCGACGTGTAACGTGTAAGATTAGCGTTTTTCAACAATATAATGTCAAAAAACGGATAAAATGTCAACTTGTTGACTAAGTAGGCTAGTGTGTAAATAGTTCATTCCGCGCTTACTACAAGTGAGCATGAAGTAAACGACAGCTAGTTACAAGTTGACGTCTTGTTGGAAAACCTTTTTATGTCATAAAAAAGTTTTTTTTATGTAGGTACATAATGTCAAAAAACAACATAACTTTTCAAGTTACCTTAATACTATCGTACTACCACTACAGAATAGACCACTTGCTATTTAGTTTTCCATTATAAAAACACGATTAATGGAGATACGAGGTAGTAGACTTAAAAATCGAAAACTTGATTGGACTACAAAAATTTTGAAATCATATAAATATATATTTAAAAATCAGTGGCAATATTTATTCGGCAAAAGGTACGTACAGAAATGTCGTAACATGGTATTTCTGTAAATGACGTAAGGGGTACGACATGCAAAGAGTAGGAAGTATAAATTTAAAGTCGAGAATACATACAGGGGGTTTCACTACTAATCCGTCAAATTTTAACCACATATGCACTGTTACGAAAGTAGTTGATTTCTCAAAAAAATGTAATAAAAATCCGGCAGAAATCAAGATAATAAAATAATACAGTTTAACAGTTCACTTACTTATAAAAACTGTTCAGAATTGTTTCCATTGACTGCAATGCAAGCTTGGGCGCGTCTAATCCAATTTCGGCGCTCTAATTCAAATACACCTCCTTCCTGCTGTGCCTGAAGGCTCAAGTTATCGGCAGCCACTGTGATTCGGTCACGCAATTCTTCAATATTCTGAACAGAAGTACGGTATACCTCGTTTTTCAAGTATCCCCATAAAAAGAAGTCCAGAGGATATGGATCGGGAGACCGTGGAGGCCATGCAATTGGCCCACCCCTTCCGATCCAGCGTACCTGGTATACCTAATACAAGAAATCACGAACTTCTAAACGAAAATACGGAGGTGCCTAATCGTGCAGAAACATCCGTGCTCGAACCGCCAATGGCACATCTTCAAGGAGGACGCGCAAATCATTCCGAAGAAATTCCAAATACTGGTGGCCATCCATCCGATCAGGCAATATGAACGGTCCAATTAGACGTTCATCGACAATACCTGCCCACAGGTTTAAAGAAAAAAAATCTTGGAAGTGTGTCTGGATCACTGCGTGAGGATTCTCAAAGGACCAGACGTGTGTATTATGAAGATTGGTTATCCCATTACCAGTAATAATAGCTTCATTGGAGGCCAAAATATCAGCTTAAAAACGGGCATTTCGAGCATTTTCTTGCAACAACTACTAACAAAATCTTACTCTTAGGGGTTAGTGTGTAGGTAGCAACGCCTGGAATCTCTGGACGTGATAAGGGCCTCTTGTAATATGCGCCACGCTGTTGCATATGACACTTCTGGGACCTGTTGCATATGACACTTCTGGGACCTGTTGGGCTAACTGCCTTGAGCTTATTCCCGAATGTTCTTCCACAATATCCAAAATTTCGTTTTCGGCATTTGAAACGCGTTGTGGGCGAACCCGACCCCCATCCACTCCACATCTGGGGCGCAAATCTCCACTTGCATGTGCACGTAAAACACTTGATTTAAATGTTCCGTGATGTTGTATGCAAAATAATTTCTTATTTAACCTCAAAAAAATCGACCGTTCTTCAGTCAGATCACCCACGATACAGATTAAACCTTATTTACACGTTCTTATCAGTATTGAAAAACAAAAAATTCCTGGTATTTTGCTTTCGTCACTTGTTTGGTACAACATGTGCTACAATCAATTATTAATGCGTGTTCTAATATCACGACGATGAACGCAAAATACAGATATTTATTTTTCAATTTATTATTGAAACTCAGGTTTAGAACTTAATTTCTGTAGGACTTTTATTACATTTTTTTTTTTTTTTGAGAAATCAACTTCTTTCGTCACAGTGCATATGTCCGCATGCTTATTACGCAAAAAATCTCAATCTTGCAGTTGCGATTGCAAAATTCGCACTAGGTACTACTACCATTCGTTAACGTATTCGACTTCAGAACAGCCTATATTCTAGCGTCCAAAAAGGAAAATGCCAACTACATACATTATTCGGGCGTCCACAAAAATATATGAAATACGACGTTTCTAATTTACGATACATTTTTTTTAATTTTTTTTCAACAATTTTATATTGTCACCTTCAAAATAACTCTGCTCTGAAGCCACACAGCACTGGTGACGGTTCTTCCACCACTTATAGGAGGAATTGCCTTCAGCTGGACGGTGACAGCCGTTTGGATGTTTTCGACTGTCTCAAAATGGGTTTCCTTGAGGTGATTGTTCAACTTCGAACTTCGGGAAGAAAAAAAGTCACAAGGACTCAAGTGAGGCGAATGAGGAGGCTGAGGAATTTTTGTTTTGGCCAATAACTAATTTATTGGCAGTGCTGTGTGACAAGGAGCATTATCTTGATGCAACGCCCAGTTGTTTTTAATCTGATGAACGGTGATGCAAGTCAAATTTTACTCTTCCCCGATCATTCTGTTAACCGACGATTCCGGATTCTGTCGATATTTTAGTCACTTCTTGAAGGCTTTCCGCTCCGTCGTTCATCTTCAATAGATCCCTTCTGGAAATGCCTTGCACTACCTTCGTATGCCTGTTTAGCAAAACTTTCCATTGCACTGTGCAAAACATGATAGTACACCGCCGCTTGAAATTGATGTCACTCATTTTTAGAACACAGTAGAAAAAACTGTTTCACAAAAAAAATCGATACCGACAACCAAACGACTCAAGCGAGTTCAAACTTGTACCCAGCGCCTCCAGTGTTGCCAGATCGAACGCTAACGTTACCAGGCTCATCACTTAATTCACAGACCTGGTATACTAGCGCTATCTAGATGACAGTAGCAGAACATAAAAATGAGTCTCAATATCTATTTCAAAAAGCGTTAGTGTTTGGTTATGCTATTCTTTCACAGATGGCGCTGGATCTTCAATCCCTTTTTAGCACCTTGTTTATTTTATTTGGGTGTCCACAGGTGCCCTAATTCTATTTTTGTTAATCACTCTGTCTATTGTTTTATTGCAGGTAGGATCAACGTTATACACCAAAGCAAATCTCATACTCTGCAAGAGAGACTACCTTCGTCTATTTGGCAACACAGGCTACTGTGCAGCTTGTTCAAAGGTGATACCTGCCTTCGAAATGGTGATGAGGGCTAGAAGCAATGTATACCACCTGGAATGTTTCGCATGTCAACAGTGCAATCACAGGTATGTTGAATTAAAAAAAATAGTTATTTATGTATTTAACGCGGTGGTAAATCAGAACCCAACGTGCGAACGATCGTGTGCCGAGGTTGTTTGACCTTTGTCGTATCAGGTTCAATGTCATTACAAGGTCAAATTTAGAAAAATTTGATTAAGCAATTTTGCAATAAATTTATATTGTTTCTGGTGGAGTTTCTTTTACCCCGCGCGTACATCCAGAGGTTATTTAAAGATCACATAAAAAATATTGTATTTATTTCACCAGATGAGACCAGTTATTCTAAGGTCAAATTTAGGGTATTCCAAGGTCAAAGGATGTTTGAATTTAACTAAAAACTTCTACATGTCGGTTTCTGGGGGAGCTGAACCTAAATCTGGTGTTTGTTTCAACCATAAAGTTCATCCAGGGGTTACTTATTAAGATTATTTCAAGGTCAAATCGGATGAGCAAGCCGGGTAAAACAAACGTCGAGTTGAATTCAGCGAGCCAAAAAGCCACAATAAAAATTTAAGTTAAGGGGGTGTTATTTTCAACTGCAATATTTGGAAGTTTGTTGTGATTTGTCGCTTCCATTGCATAAGGGCGTATCTCAAAGACTGCAACTTTTTAGGAGGTGCTCCTAAAATTTTGTGTTTAACTTTGGATTGGAGGTAGATGGAATGTATGTGAGCTTTGCAATAACTTTCATGCGGTTCAGGCTGCCCATATCTTATATGCTTCTTACTTCAGAACATTCACTTTTTTGTATTCTTTGCTTACTCAACTTTAAATGAGGTACTCCCCATTGTTAGATGTTACTCTTTGCTAAATAGCGAACAAAACAGACACAACTCATATATTCAAGTGATATATTTTTGACAACACTGCATGAAAATCACCAGTCTTCGTCATGCACCTTATATTATTCCTCCAAAGCGTTGGATTGCATTTCATATGACATATTTCTCAATAAATTAGGAGCATAAGGCATCAGCACAAGCTGATAATTTATCTCTTACTGATGCACAACTATATGTGTTCCTGAATGGAACTATGTCTGCACTAGACCTTACATGGTATGGTGTTCCTCAGGGCTCTACACTAAGTCCCACATTATTTTTAATTTACATAAACGACATTGAGAACTGTGATCCTCATTCAAAATGTATTCTGTATGCAGATGATATGACTAGAATGACCAAATCAAATAACACAGTTATAGCTTATAACAGCAAACAAAACGTTAAGTTGTGGTACTCGGCAAATTCATTATATTTAAAGGCGATAAAACAAAAGAGCTAAACTTTAAAACAAAAAATAACTGTATGTAAATAACTAGAGGTAATAGGAATGTCAAATGACTTGGCATCCATCTTGATACGCACTTGGAATGGGAAGACCATGTATAAGAGAAGATTAAGGAAAATTATTTTTCTAGTAATATAGCTTTCTTGGTAGCATGAGATGCGCCTGTAACAACACGACAGTCGGTAAGGCTTTGTCAAATAATCTGTTTAGGACAATCCAAATCTCAATACTCAAATTAGCGTGTCTCGGAATTCGCCTTTATGTCAAGATATCTGGTTGAAAATGAGATACGTTTTCATGGTATAGCGACTTCTAGTGGAATCAGAGATATGACCTTTTTTCAGATAATGAGCCCTTGTTATTTGATGCCAAATTTATCATTATCTTAATTTAGCCGCAAAGCCAGTTACGTCCTTATGCAATGGAAGAGACGAATTGAAGCTTAACATAATAAAGTACGCCCAAGATTTTATCAATGTTTCATATTATTTAAAACAATATTAAAATGGGTTACCGTTTTTGAGCACTCTCCTCTGAACTGTGTGATGATAGTATCCGAGCAGCTAGTATAATAGCTCTACGTTTATCATTTCACACGAAAATATCAACATCCATGCAAGTCCGCGCTCATCGTTTCAGCTATAAAACTACCATACACGTTTTTCAACTCCACCTAAACCGCATCGGTCATATTTCAAGCATTTATGCGGGTACAATACCAAAAAGCAAATATTTTATCCAAAAATTGAAAATACAACTTTAATAAAGCACCGAGAACAGTGCGGGCATGGCAGACAGGTGTTTAAAAGTTATCAGCAACACATTAAAGCATATCAAACGGAGAGTTATTGCACTGAGTTTTTCGCTGTAGTGTTCAACGTTGTACTGGGTGCGGCTTCTGATTTATACAGTCATTGTTACACCGAACCGGCGGATTTTAGCGCATTTTATGTGTATTGAATCGTTTTGCAGCTCAGTGATTTACGATTTGATCCAGCGAGTTGCAGGTCATTATTGACGTTACGAAGCATATAATAGCCCCGCTTGGAAATATTCCGTTTTTGCTTGGCGCAACTGATGATTACATTCCAACATTTCTTGTCAATCGTAGCAACTGGAAAGTGTTTACAGGTACGACGATCTTACCACCATCTAACCTCCCCAACCTTAAGCTACGTTCTCAACGCGCTTGGCACGCTGGCGTCATCCTCGCATTCGTGAAATTGTCTTCGTCTGAACGAGTTCCTATGTTTACCTCTGTCGACCGCTCATGCTTGATTTGCAGGCATTGACATGCCAGACGAGCGCAATGTGTATCTGATATTGAAATATGTGTTCCTGGCTCAATAAAGCTTTTTCTTCCATTTTACTTCCCTTGCCAGACTGGCAAACGGGAAAAAAATTTTGAATGAGATATTATGTTTCTTTGATGTTATATGACATGTGCATCACGAAAAACTATGTCAGTCATTTCCGAATATCTGTCTGTCCGCAAATCCTTGGACTGTCTGTAACTTGGAAAGTACTGCTCGGACTTGAATTAAATATTCTTAAAAGGTTACTACTAGGGTCAACATCTACAATACGCCCCAGCGGGCAATATGCCCATATCGCTGTCGCTCAAACAGATATAGACAACGGGTTGCGACGCGCATGCAATGAAAATAGTACCTCTCCCAATTGACTGCCGTGAGGGTGTGATTTTTGCATTTAATTTTAAATTATAGTTAAATCCTTAAATACGAGCCCCTTCCCACTTCAGTTGGCCCACTTCAAGATTTGTACCAAAATATGCGTTTATAAACTAAACATGACGAAACTATTTACTTCTAAAACAATTTATTTTCTCAAAAAATTTTTAGATACACTCTAGCCGTAAAAAAATACATATTTGAAATCACTTAGACCTATAACTAATAGAACATCTGAACAAATAAACAATGTGCGAATAAATGCGCGAAGTTAACAAAGCAACAATTGAAGGATTACCATTGGGAAACATCACCTTTATTTTTTATTACGGCTGAAATTCTTTGGGGCATAGTGTTAACCAAGTTTTGGCAAAAATTTGGTGTAAAACAATCCCATATTTCTTGAAGCTTTTGTCTCAGTTCGGTGATTGTACGAGCAGGATGTTGTTGAAGAACCTTTTTCATCTCGTGCCACGAAGTTTCAATAGGTGACAGATCTGGACTGCTAGAAACCCATTTCAAAAGTGGTACATTATTTTCTTCCATCCATTTTATAGCCTTTTTTGAGGTATGGCACGCTGCACCATCTTGCCGAAACACAAAATCTTGGCCGGATGTCAAACATTCTTCCATCACTGGTAAAAGCGATTCTTCTAAAATTGCCAAATATTTGTTTGTATCCACATTTCCATCAATAAAATGAAGTTTTCCTACTCCTTTTGATGACATACAGCCCCAGACCATAATGGATGCTGGAAATTTCACTTTTCTCTGCAGACAGTCAACATGGAATGCTTCATTTTTTTGCGAATAACTTTACTGCGACTGTCACCAACACAAACTTCGAATCGGGCCTCATCACTCCATTGTATTGCACACCATTGTTGACCTGTGCATTGTCTATGTTCTTTTGCTGATCTAAGCCGATTTTTCTTTTGCTGTGGAGTTAGTAGTGGCTTCTCTTTGCCTATAAAGAAGTTGTGCAACTTTAGGGTTCTTACTTCACTTTTTTTTCTAAGAAAACTTACCTTGCAAGTGCTAAATCCCAGTTTGTGGGCCTCTCTATGAGTTGTGGAACTCGAAATTCTCCTTCCAACAGCGTCACTCCACAGAGCACTTAATTGTAAATAATTGGTACGCCTGTTTTTTACGATTATACTTCTTAATGCTCTTCGGTCGGCATTTGTGATATTACTTTTTTTCACATATCGTGGCTTAATATTAACTGAACCAGTTACGTTATATCTTCTAACAATATTTCTCAAACTGTACCGCGATAAGTCTAACAAAGTTGCAATTTTTGAGTTTGATTTCCCATAATTAAAAAATTTAATTATCAGTAACCGAATTTTCTCACTAATAACCTTTCCTCTGGCCATTTTGAAAACCTTAACTACCCAAAACTATTTTAAACGTATTCCGACAGCTGTGATTAATAAAAACAATTGTCATGGCTTTTATTTTTCACAGCCACCTTTGCGTTATAGACTTATTTTGCATTGACATGAAATAGGTTGATATGCTGTAATTGCAACATTGCAACATGTGTTATTTTTATGCTGCAAATTTGATTAGGGAGTGACAAAGTTGGTGTTTTCTACTATATAGTATCAAAATATTCATTGTTAATATTTTAAACCTATAACACCCTGCTACATTTTTATTATTTGTGTTTGATAAAAAAAACTAAGATTTCAATAGTTGGGCCAACTGAAGTGGGAAGGGGCTCGTACGACCTTGAGACATATTGCCGTGAATACTGTACAAATTATTGAATATAGTGACCTATTTTTTGTATCAAAATTACATTTAGGGCTATGAAAACATTGATAGATAACCTACAATTTTACGTGTTGCACACAGTCATAAGCCTTTCATGGCGGCCATGTTTACCCTGGGGCGTATTCTAATTAGAAATTTACAAAATGCCCCGGCTGTCATAGTTTGAAATGCCCCAGTTTTACAATCATATATTTTTTTATTTACGACCCAAATGCTATTCCAGAACACTATTTTTCTTTATC